GGCTGGGGATTCGAACCCGCCACCTTAGGTGTACGTGGCTGGCGCCTTAGCCGGTTGAGCTATAGGCGCCGAGCCTTAAACCAGAATTTTAAAGAAGTAGCTGTCCAAGCATACAGAATTGAGAAATATAGTGATAGTACATGTGAAATAAATTGTTTCTATCATTTGTAATCAGCTGTCTCGTGATGACCACAGCTCTTAGAATTATTCCTTGAAATAAAAGTTTATGCATGCACACATATAGAAAGCACATTTCATTGTCATGGCAATGTGTTATGTCTGCAGTCCCAACTAGAGTATCAGCTTCCATAAAGCAAGGCTTCTGTCCGCGTTACCATTGTACTCACAGGGCCTACCACTTAACAGGTGCTATTTGTTGACTGAATAATAACCTTACAGAAGAAAAATTCACTATGAAAGTTTAGTTTTACTAGTAATTCTTAAATTGCAGACCTTCCTTCAAAAAATACGTGTTTCTAAAGCCATTCAGTATGTTTTTAACCTATCTTGAAAATGATGTGTTGAATTTTGAAATTGAAACTTCTAGTGGCTATGTGGAACTTTGTATAAATCACCTGTTTGCATTTTTCTTATTTAGAGCAAGATTAATTTGCAATGTATGTGAATCATCTCAAAATTGTACTGGTATGAACCTATTTGCTGCATATTTTTCTACAAGAACTTAACATTTTTTTCCACTTTTTATTGTGGAAAATTTTAAACATATATTAAAGTAAACAATACAATGGCTCTCCCATGTATTCATCACCCACTTACAACAATCATGAAATTAATAGAATACTTGTTTTATCAATTATTGTGAAACAAATAGACCAACATATGATTTTATCACATCTATATGTATCTCTAAAAGGCAAGAACTCTTTTCAAAAATCAGAAATACTTCATCATGCCAAAAGTTAAAAATAATTCTTTAATACCATCCAATATATGGTCAATGTTCAAAATTTCTTTGTCTTAAGTGTTTTACATTTGGAGTCAAAATCCATACAAGGTCCACATTGCATTTGGGTGATCTCTTACATTTCTTAATCTCACATGTCCTCCTGAATTTTTTTGTTTGCAATATATTGATGATCCTGAGTCATCTCTTAACTAGTTCCCTACATGCTGCTTCTGGTACCTGGGTCCCTAGGTGCCATGTATGGCAATCCTGACTGCAGCCAATTAACTACTTGTGTGAGTTACCCACACCAATGGAATGGTGACAGGAAAAGCTAACCGAATTGTTAGCTTTTGGGTTGCATGTTGGGGACAGTGGCCACCCAATGCTTGTCCAGTGGGGTGGGGGTTGTGTTTTGGTCAATGTTTTCCTGTGATTATTGGTAAGGACAGCAAAGATGAACAGGTTGTAACATAATAATCTGGCCTCAGACTATCCTGATTGTCCAGAATGAGATACTTAGGACCCTCTGGAAGTTAACTCCCAGCTGGTTGCTTCTGGGACCATAAGGGACATGTTTGAGGTTAATATTTCAGACTGGCCCCATCCAGACGCTCTAAGAATGGACCTGAGTTCTGCCCATAGATTGGGACTACCACAGCCACTTGGGGTTGTGCAGAGCTGGTGTGGAGGTTGAACATCTGCCCTAGTGCACACCTCAGGTTTCAGTGTGACTAAATCAGTGGAAGAGGCTCAGGCATTTAGGGTAAGGTGACCAGACGTCCCACTTTTGGCGGGACAGCCCCGATTTCAAACAATTTGTCCTGCGTCCCGTCCCGCAGTGTTTTAAAAAAGTCCCGATTTTTGGAAAGAATGCAGGACAAGCTAGCGGAAGGGGGAACAATGGGAGGGGAATATGTGGTTTTCGGCTGCTGAAAAGGTTAATGTAACTTCATTTGGAAATTAAAAGGCTAATGTAAACTCCCTACTCCCCTCCTGGGCAAGGTCGCCCAGGTGGACTCGTGCTTTACTCCTTTGAGCCACAGACTCTGCCCTATACATAATTTTTTTAATGTATTATATTTTTAAATTGTACTTATGTTGAAATTAAAAAATATATATAACAATACTATTTTTGCATTCTATGAAAATTTTTGTTGCTCCATATAGACTAAATTTTTAATTAAGAACCCCACCCCCACCCCAGTCAATGGTGTCCCACTTTACCAATGTTAAAATCGGATCACCTTAATTTAGGGTAATGTCTGAATTGAGGGCTTGTTGTGCCAGTAGCTTTGCTTCAGGTGGTTAAATGTAGGAGATAAAGTTTCCCCCAAAAGAACAGGTGCAACCTGCTTCATGCAAAACTGAGATGACACCAGGACCAGGCGGCTCCATCTTTGAATGCACTATTTTCTCTGGGTTAGTGGGGCCTGTTTAGGCACGTATTTTGTTCAGAGTGCAATAACACTGTGGGGATTACTTTTCAGTGGTGGGGGAGCTGAAGCTTTTCCTAGAATTGAGGAACTGGGCTTTGAATGTGTTCGGGGATTAGGCGCCCCCTGCCGGCGGGGATCTGGTGACAACACACTCGGGACTTGCAACTTCTCATTAGCCTTAGGGTGGCGCCTAAGGAGTGAAAGGGCCTTGCCGGTACCGTCCTCTGCCCACCAGAATTCGGCAGTACCTGCACTGCTAGCTCTCGGGCTCAGAGGACCTTTCTGTCCCCTTCCGTGCCACTACAGTTTATCCGTGTCCTTGCCAGTTAGAGCTACTCTTTGGCCTAGTGTTTCTCCCGTCGTGAAAGTGGGTAGGATGGGGTTGGAGTCTCTTCCGGAAGTTCTGCCCAGAGAAGGGTCCAGGTATGACTTGTAGAGGCTGCCAGCTTGGGGTCAACAAGGCAGCGTCCTTATTAAGGACACCTGAGTTGGGGGACTCCTTGCCTGAGCAACCCATAGCCATCAGTATCATTGTCATTTTTTTTTTTTTTTTTTGAGAACAGAGTCTAAAGCTGTCCCTCTGGTAGCCATTCTCTCGCCTCAGACTCCGCAGTAGCTGGGATTACAGGCGCCGCCACAATGCCCAGTTATTTTTTGGTTGCAGTTGTCATTGTTTAGCAGGCTGGCGCTGGGTTTGAACCCACCAGTGTATGTGGCTGCCGCTGTAACCACTGTGCTACGGGCGCCTACCCAATATCATTATCATTCTGATATCCTAACAGACTCTTCTCTCAAACGGCCACTTGTTTGTTTCAATGTTACCACTCAGGTCTGAACATCCATGAACAGGATAGTAAGCCCCAACCTGGCCCAACTAATTAGTGTGAGAGCGCTTGCCACTGGTTAGGTGCTAGCAGAAGACCAGGTGGCATTCTAGTTGGAGGACCGCATGCTACAAGTAGCTACTGTGTAGTGAACTATTGTACCAATGTTCTCTCCATGATCCTTTGACATTTGCCAGAAAGATGGACCTAACTAATGGTTGCCCTCTTTCTTGAAGCGTCTACTTTTGTACAGTTTTGGAAAATACAATCAATCTCTGCTTGAAAAAAAAAATGGTATAGGGATGGATTTGAAGTTTCTGAGAATCATTGAAGTTTTCATGATGATCTGTTTCTTATGAGGGAAGTTTTGATTACATCCAGTTTTGGACCTAGTATGAGTCCTGGGAAATCAGATCCAGAACTAAAATACATCTGCCCACTTCTCTGAGACATCACACTAACATGTTAGTGATTGAGAAGAAAATCTATCTAATTTACGGACCTTCTTTCCCAGAAAGAAGGTGTGGTTTATGATGCTTTTATTCTTAAGGAATAAATTAAGAACATTATTTTTCTAAAGAAGACTGACAGTGTTGCACTTTTTCACATTTTTATAAAGCTGTAAAGTCACTTTATTGAGTTGCCAAAATTGTCTTTAAATTTTAAAGTAGTAAGAAATGACGATTACTGAGAGCAGTGGTCTTCATCCTTGCTTACACACAGTAATCACCTGTGGAATTTTAATCAGTTGATCCCATGTTCTCATAGATTCTGAGTTCATTGGTCTGAGGTGCTGTTGGGGTAGCCTAGGTTTTAAAGTATCTCAGATATTTCTACTGACCAGCCAATAACAGCTGGTGCTGATAAACTTAAGAGGTCTGTTAAGTGATTACTTATTAGGCCTTTAAACCTTTTTAAATTAAGCTCCATAGACTTCACATGCCTTCTGGATAATGAACCCAAGCATAATATGACACACTATTAAATGTTTTAGGAATTCTTGGAGTGCATGCAAGGAAAGGAGTTGTTGCACTGTGGCAAAATGGAAGAGCAAGGTTGTGGGTTAATGGAATATTCATATGGCAATGACTTACCCATTACAAAGGCAAAAAACTACCTTTCCAGCTAAAAGGACAGTCACTAACCAAGTGATTAAACTTAGCATCACTAATAACCAACTTAGGGGTTATATCTGGTCTCTAAAATGGGGGATAAAATCACAGTTCTTACCTTACTAGGTTCTTTCCTTAAAGACTGAGATTCAGGCTTGGCGCCTATGGCTCAAGTGGCTAAGGCACCAGCCACATACACCTAAGGTGGCAGGTTCAAATCCAGCCTGGATCACCAAACAACAATGACAGCTGCAACCAAAAAATAGCCAGGCGTTGTGGCGGGTGCCTGTGGTTCCAGCTACTTGGGAGGCAGAGGCAGGAGACTCACTTGAGCCCAGGAGTTGGAGGTTGCTGTGAGCTGTGATGTCCCAGTACTCTACCCAGGGGGACAGCCTGAGGCTCTGTCTCAAAAAAAAAGACTGCGGTTCAATGGTAATCTCAGTCCTTAACACATTAAATGTACTTAGTAAATGTTAAGCTTTCTTTGATGGCCATTTTATTTTTTGTATATAATAATAAAATCAGAAGAATACAATTTAAATCAATATCTTTCACTGCTCAAAGGAAGGAGCAAATTGATTTGGAATTTTCAAAACTCTAAAGTAGTATACCTTGTGGAAAAATCTTAAAACAGTATGAAACATGAGTAGTTAACTCAGTAAAAATAATTTTGTAATGCAACTAAAATCTATTTGATTATATGATTCCTAATGTAAACCTTAGCACCACTATCAATTGATAATTTGAAATGAAATTTAGATTTGTAGATGATGTATACATTATAGTTGTAAATGTTTTATAAAATTGTTCTATTAACACAAAAGTTCATTTAAATGATTTCATGGGAATTTAGCACTGTTACTCTGGTTTGTGGACAAAATCTCTCTAAGGCAACATTTCTTAAAGTCCCTCTGGAGAACAGTGAAGAAATGCTGCCTGCAAAACAGGTTCATTTTGGCAAAAACTGCATACAATATTCCTTTTGGAAGAATCATAATTCATAATAGCACACAAAAATCTCTGAAGTCTGTCAGGATAGAAATTTGTTTACTTGTTTTTAACCTAGCATTCCCTAAATTTGTCACAGGAGCCTTTCTCTTCTGTAACAGCAATTCCTACAAATACTTTGGGGAATGCTGCTTTAAAGAAAACTGTTTTGGCTCGGCACCTATAGCTCAACCGGCTAAGGCGCCAGCCATGTACACCTAAGGTGGCGGGTTGCATCCCCAGCCCGGACCCGCCAAACAACAATGA